ACAGGCCTTCAAAGGTATTTTTTACAAATGCGTCATTATTTTCGTCCACTTGTTGGTTACGGTTTTGTGTTAGCCGCGGGCTGACGCAGGGCGGCCTAAGGAGACTGAAAGACCTGGCATCAAGATTTGTTGCTATATTTGCAAGCACGCATGCTCAGAACTACGTTCCATCATTTCTATCACTGACCAATTCTGGCCAAATGTTTGATATTGCCAGACAAACGTGACCTGGCCATGTTAACACAAATTGTTAAGCCATTTCGATCCACATTCGCGGGGTCCTTTCTGTCTCTGCACGGCCCAGATAAAGGTTCAGCTCAGAAGGGTATACGCTAAATTGCTCCTGTTGTGGTACTTTACAGATATATGTGGTAGTTTGTGGTACCCTTGTGCTATCAGAAAATTCCTCCTATCTCGCCTCCAATTTTGGTTATTTTTACCTTCTTTTATGCTGGACGTAGCCTATTTTCTGTCATACGATGCTGACGTTGTACTTATTCTGGGAAATTCCTTCGTGTTCCAGTTTTATCATGCAAATTTGTGGACCCCTGTGATGAAAATTGCGTGGTTAGCCCCATTACTAACTAGCGAAACTGAACCGTAGTGTTCGGCGCCAAACGAGACATTGAGGTGTTGACTGCGGGGTGTCGTATTTGGAGTGGTTGCGGAGTCACTCATTTTTGATGAAGTTTTCGCTCAGATAAATTCAAATTATGTAAGGGAAATGCATGACACATCGTTAGCTATTGAGGTGCCTACCGAAGCAAGGTACTTAATACTTTGTACTGATAGCGTTGTGGACACACCACAATTAGGTGTTTATTGTCATCCCTCACTACGATTTGTGGAGGGTGTGGGTTTCGAGCAGCTGACTAATGATGTCAGCAAGGAAATTTGTACCAACTGTACGGGGCTAGAGACAGGGGCGGATCCAGGATTTTGTCAACGGAGGGCCATGCAACATTGTGGGAGTTTGCCCTCTGGAGTTTGGAGTGGGAGCCCTCTGGAGTTTGGAGCCCCCTCCAAAAGATATCCTTGCATTTCGGTCATTACGTTTTAGGACAAGTCGTATGCAATTTATATTTATGCATATAGATGTGTACATATATATATATATATATATATATATATATATATATATATATATATATGAGTGTGACACTTAATAGTCAATGGAAATGACACATACGACGTCAGCGAAATGTAAAATTACGTTCGGCAATTGCGCGTAAAAAGTCACCGGCGCATATTCAACTGCTGCTCTAAGAGGAAGGCACCAAAGCCAATAGGGACGGAACATGAGCGATCACGGGTGCCGTAGGAGGCCAACAAAGTGGCTCCCTTCAACAAGTATAGGGTCCTCAGAGCAACCAGAAAGAACCCAAGACCAACGTGGTGGGCCCCTAAACGATCAGTAGTGCCTCAGCAGACTGATCTAGAAGGCCCCGGCCATAGCACAGGACCATCTGAGCAAATGATAATTATCGAAGACCATAAATTCATACCCCTGTGCGATCAAGAGTGCACGGGCAGGTTAACGACACCGGCATCGATAAGGGTGAAGAGTCCTCCGCAAATGAGACCGAAGGGAGAGAGCCCTCGATCAAAGTACAGGGCCCCTAAGCATCAAGTGTCTCCTTGCCTTACCTTATAAGAGACGTAGCAAGAGCACAAGTCCCTCCAAGCAAGAGGAAAGAACCCGAAACTAATATGACGGGACCCTGAGCAACTAAGTGTGCCCTGGCATATGGGACCCTCGAAAAAAGTGTATAGAACCTTCCGGGCGAATGGAAAGAATCCGTGGAAGAAAATCTGATCGATCAACAGTGCTCAGACATGGAGACAGATAGCGTCCCAACAGCACATTGGGCCTTATGAGAAAATACAGAGAGATCAAGGGCACCGTGGAAAGCTCTTTAGCGATCAGATTCACCCGGCAAGCGGACATATAGGGCCGGGCAACCAACAGCACAATGCCCCTAGACAGCGTATATGCCCCAAAATTTCCCCCAAGCAAGATTTTCTCATTCAGCGAAGAATAAACTTTGTTTGCTCATGAACTCTTTAGTTCTGCTAACCATGGTTCTTGGTCGGCTGTAGGCCCAAAAGCATCCAATTTTGTTGTGTTTTTGTTGTAAGAAAACCGCATCCGTCCGGCCGATTATGAGCCCCTTTGGAGCCTTTGGGTCACCTCGGCATGGTCCATGGGGGCATGGTCCCGTGCCTCCCCCCCCCCAACCCTCTGCATCCGCCGCCGGCCCGAGCAGCTGAATAGATGGGGCCCGCCAAGAACATAGGGCCATCCATTCAGATAAGATACCCACGACGCAATGTGTAGTGTTCTAAACGATCAAGTGCGCCCGAGCAGGTTAACATATAGGGACCCCGTCAAGAGCGTAGAGCCCTCCATTCGAAAAGGAGTACCCAAGACCCACTGCAGAGGGCCCCCGAGTGATCGCGTGTGCCCGAGCAGGCTAACAAATACGGCTCCCAACAAGAGCGTTAGGTCCTTCATTCAAATGGGCAGCGCAGAAGACCCTATGTAAATGGCCCCAGAATGACTGAATGTGCCCGAGGAGTTTACCAGAAGGGGCCCGACAACAGCGTCGGGCCCTCCATCGAAATAGGAAGTACCAAAACCCCAGTGCGGAGGGCCCAGAAAGATGGAGTATACCCGAGCAGATTATCAGGTGGTCCAGCCAGGAGTGTAGGGCCCGAAAATCAAATACCAAGACTCAATATATAGGGCTTCCGAACAATCCAGTGTGGCTGAAGCGGCGAACAGATGGGGTCCCGACAAGTGCGTAGGGCCCTCCATTGAGATGGGAAGTACCCAGGACGCAATGTGAAGGGCCCCGGATTTTTGAGCGGGTCCGAGCAGGTTAACAGATGGGGCCCCGGCAAGAGCGCAGGACTTTCCGTTCAGATGTGAATCACTCAAGGCACGATGCAGTGGACCCCGAATAATCGAGTGCGCCAGAGCAGGTTGGCAGATAGGGCACCCGGAAAGAACAGAGGGCCCTCCGTTCAAAAAGGAAGCACTCAAAACCAGATGTAAAGTTCCCCACAATCGAATGGGCCCCGAGGATCATATAAGAGGGGGCCCCGACAAGAGCGTAAGGCCCTCCATTCAAATAAGAAGCGCCAAAAACCCGCTGTGGAGGCCCCGAAAGATGGAGTGTACCGGAACAGGTCATCAGGTGACCCCCGATAGGAGCAGAGAGCCCTAAATTCAAACACCAAGAACCAATGTGCAGTGCCCCCCGAGCAATCCAGTGTGGACGAGGCGGCGAACAGAAAGAGCCCCCGACAAGTGTGTAGGGCCCCATGCAAATACCACGTGCCCAAGGCCCAATGTAGAGGGCCCCGAACGATCGAATGAGCCCGAGCAGGTTATCAGATAGGCCCCCCATTAAGAAGGGAAGTACCCAAGACCCAGTGTGGAGGGTCCCCGAACGACTGTGTGCCCAAGCAGGCCATCAGATGTGCACCGACAAGAGTATAGGGCTCTAAGCAAGCAAGTGACAGAGAATTGGAAACGCCCTAGACCACTGTAGAGGACTCATGAGCATATCGCACGTGTGTGAGTAGATCGACCGAAACCCACGTAAAGAGCCCCTGAGCAGCCGAGAATATATCGGCAGGTTAAGATAAGACCTCGGCTATAGCTCACAGATCCTTTCTGGAGAATGGAAAAATCCATGGAAGGGCCCGTGATTGATAAGAGTGCCCCCGCACGCTAACAGGAAGGGCCTCAATAACGGTGCAGGGCGCCTCGAGCAAATGCAAAGACATGGAGGGCAACGTGGAATGCTCCTTCACAATCGAAATGATCCTGCAAGTGGGCATAGGTCCCCTGGAAACAGCATGAGGCCCCTAGACAGTGTACCGAGGCTTAAAATTTCCAGTTCACAGCTTTTCCAATCATTGAGGATTTTTTTGCGACTTCTCATAAGCCCTTCACTTTTGCTTACAACTGTTCTTGGTCGCTTGAAAGTCCAGAGATGCCTAGTTTTGTTGCGTTTTGTGTTTAAAAAACTGCACCTGTTCGGCCCGGTATGGGGCCCGCTCGGAGCCAATGGCCCCTTCGGGGCCCAACGGGGGGGGGGGGCATGGCCCTGTGCCCCCTCCTTCTGAATCCGCCCTTGGATAGAGATTCCATCTGTATGCACTTCTTCTTTGCAATCCGCAGTTATAATTTACATTTCCCGAGACGTTGTGATGCAGATTAATGATGTGATTGCACACATAGTGTTACCCTAGTGTTGAGTTGACTTGTAATGCCCCATATACTGTTGAATGGGCCGTAAGATCACGCAAACTGCCTTTTGTCTCAGCCATGGAAGCTCCAGTCAGTCAGGATTTTGACAGTACTGATGACTGCCGCAATGACTTCACGGGTTTCCTCCCTCCAACTCAGTAGGAAACTAGACCATTGCCTTATGGAGTAGTGATGCGAGTACAAACGGCACAAAGAAAGGAACCCGAGCATTCTCTCAGACCTGGTAGCACTTGCACTAAGAGAAATGTTTCAAAGTGGGTAAAAATACCGGCCAGCGCGGATGACGTCTACCGACCCACCCATGTAGATGCTGCTAGTCGACCCATGCCGACAGCGTGGCAAGACAGCAGCGGCCATCGAATAGCGGAAAGAGCTAAATTTGTGACAAATGTCATAAAAAAGAAAATGAATTATTTCCAGCGATGAGGCGGCCGAAATCCGGGGGCTTTCGCGAGGTGAGGGGGCACCAAGTTCCAAGGAAGTGAATTATGACAGTGAAGCATGACCCCCCGCCTCCTAAGAAATCCTGGATCCGTCCCTGATCAATCCATTATAACCACACACGGCGGCAACCGCGATCTTGCGCGAACCCGTGTAGACCAGTAAGCCAAGACATTCGGGATCAAGACATACAAGTGCAAGAAGCATCAACATGACTAATGCTCCTGAAACCTTCATGGTTCACTAAAAACCGGTTCCCCAGTACAAACGCATTGGCAATAATGTAGTGGTATTTCTTCAAGAAGCAAATTTTTAAAACAGTCGCCCGCGTTCTCTGCATGCCTCCATGTTCCAATAACTTGTCACAGCATCCACCCCATATATCGTTTTCCGAGGGTGAATCTTACACTTCCCGTCACAGGCGATAGAGTACAGGCCGACAGGACAAGTGTGGATCGCAATTTTCTCATCCATTCATAGCGTGACTGGTACATCATTATCGCCAGGTCACTATGATTTATATCACGACTTTGCCAGTGCCTCTTCTGGTGTCCGGCTTCCGACGCGCTCGGTCCGAGAAAGCCTTGCTGATGGTGCTTGGTAAGCAAGGCATCATGACCAGCAGACAACATTGATGGTTCAATGTTGCGCAAATAATGCGCGTTTGGACACAGCAAAAGCTCCCGCGTTTACATGAGCAGCATCACAACCCCACAGAAAATGACTGCGTTCATGTTCTCATACAGCGGTAGTCCACGATAACTAGCCCACTACGCAAAGTTCACCATTTCAAGGTACATAGTTCATTAATACATTCGCATCTGACACAACCCACAATCGTGACACACAAAAAACCGCACAGGTAACAAAATGATAAGGTACAAATGTTATTTGATTGCTGCCCGGAGGATTTCGACGAAAAAAGGTTTCATATTACTTTCTTTGTGGCCGTTGAGAAACCTTGACAATGCATAGGAATCCCGGGTTCGTTCCGAGTGCAAAGTTGACAGCGGCGCATGTTTTCAGTTTTCCATTATGCTAGTCCTTTCACCGCGCCGCGATGCGCAAGGCTGCAGGACGAGCTTTAAAATCAGCGGAGCAAAACAGATCAGCTGGATAATCAGCTCTGCAATCACAGCAGGCAATACATTACGGACAAATTAGTGTCGCTAATCAAAAAGGGTAAACAACGCACGGAAAACATTGCTCATGTGTTCGCTTGCGCGCCAACATCCAGGCGTGCATCTCCCAGTCCACGATGCTGAACATGGTGACGCCACGCCAGCAATATGCTCGGGTATGGCTGGCGGACCGTCCACTCAAGCACTTCTCGCGACCTCCCCCGTAGACCGCCGTCAGAATGCCCGCGTGCCACCCGCCGTCCGCACCGCCTGCGCGTGAGGGTGCGCTAGTCCTTCTTGCCAACCTTCTCGGCCTCGCTGAACGCCCGGGTCACGTACAGGCCGAGCACGGCGTGAATCACGATCACAGTCACCACGGCGGCGTACAGCGTGCTCGTGGACGTGTCCAGGCCGAGCATAGCTTCGAAGAGAACGGTCCGCGACGCGAAGAACGCCGCCACTGGCACAAACAGGATCAGGAAGACGTAGAAGAATGCGGTGCGAAAAATTGCACCTTCTGACATTGTCCCCTCTTGCTTGTGATCCATGATGGCTGGCTTGACCTGAAACAGTAGAGCAAACTGGAAAGTGAAATATAACAGGGCAGGGTGGCGTCGCCAGGGGGCAACGGGCGGCCGCTCGGGCCCCTGCCACCCGACAAAGAGGGAGAGATAAACAGACATGCTTCCCTTTGTATTTCAGGAGGCTAACAAACCCACTGGGAGGCTTCATATGACTGAGGAAGACTGTTCTATATCAAAAGGAACAGCCTCAAGGCATGCATGGGACTGAATCAGTCATAAAGAAGGCCCAAATGACCAAAAAGGCCTTACTGGTTGACTGGAGACCCCACGTGATCTAAATGCCCCATCAGATGCATAGCGGGTTGCACCAACAAAGGCAGCATAGCCAGCACAAAAGGGGAGCAATTAGGAAAACTGGAAGCTGCAGCAGGCCAATATGTGTCATCCAATTATTTACACCCAAAATGTCCTAAAACAGTGCACATAATTTGATTGGAAATTATAGGTAAGGTTGGGATAGGAGGTCTCCCGACTTGATTGAGAGCACCCTCGCTCTGCTTCACCCTGATGAATAAGATGGTGGTACCATCTCTTCAATAGGGTGTGAGTTAACTGCTTCCTATGAATGAGGCATAAAACAATCTGTGGTAACATATTCTTGAGGCTGCTTAGTCACATGAATGCTCATTGTCACTGACAGCTGGCCTCTTCATGGAGAAAAATGATCAACACAAAATGCACTGAACTTCATGTTTATGAAATATCCTGCACCCACACAGACCCAGCTCATGCTGACATTTGGAACAGGAGCCAACAAATTGGGAAAAAACTACTGGAGACAAGAACAGCCCCATTTCATGAATGAAAATCACAGTTGTAACTGTTAAACACAGTCAGCAGGCAGTGACACATGCTACCAGTAAGCTCTATGATTGACCCATGGAAGACCTAGGGCAAGCTAGCTTGACAAGTTCACAGAATGACACATTTGTGTAAAAAGCGCACCTTCCTGCAGGGCTCATCCTGTAATGTATGCCAACATATTGGCACATCCTTTTTCAATATGTGGCCATCAAAAACTAACATGGCATTTTATATTGTTAGTTGCAATAATCATCAAATGCAGCATATCTAAGCATAAATATCTGCTATAATAAAAAACATTCTGTGTCAAACACTTCCATATCTAATTGTATATTCATGCTAGTGATGGTGTTTGCCATGAGCCTTAGTGAGACAAATTACAAAATCACCATTGAAATGCAGCTCTTGTAGTTCCAACCACATTGTTCTGATATGTAGGAGAGCAAGGCAGACTTCAATGGAATTAACACGTACAATACATCATGTAAATTGTGGGTAATGAATGCCACATACGATCAAATATCAGAACGATGCTATTTTGGCATGATGTGGGTTTCCTAATGTGATAATAATGCTTTACGCATAAATATAATGTGTTATATTACAAAGATGTAATGTTGATGCTTTACGCAACTATAAGTTGGTTCCAACCCCACAAACCATAATTTTATGGGAGTATATCTGTTGGGAGAGGGAAAAAGAAAAAGGACAGCAACAGCTTATCTTCCAGTGTTACTGTAAACTTGAAGGGCAGACCTGGAGATAGCTTTCAAGCTGTGAACTGCCTCAGGTAAGTGATTTTATTCATCAACATACAACTAACTTGAAAAACTCTTTGACTGAGAAACTGAGTCTTCACAAATTAGAACTTTCCAGCACTTAACAAGCCCACATACACTGAAAACAAATCTGAGTTCCCGAGTTTTCACTGATACCCAGTCTGCATGTCCCTGCACCGGTTTTCTTCAAGTACTTCACCTTTTTTAGAAGAAGAAATATCTCCACCGCGAGCGTTTTACGCGCAGTGCGGCACGGGCTCAACCAGCTCGCGTTAGCAGGATTGCCCGACTTTGAAATCATACAATCCAAACGACATCTTTAGCACCAAAAGTAATGAGCAGGCAATTAACATTATTCACTACGGCGTTTCGACCACTGCTACTCACAATGCTCGCATGATTGCCTATCATCTTCAAGAAATAACCGTCTGATAATATAATAATTTCGGCTACAAACAGGTCATACGATTTTTAACACGCGGACAACCGACGATTTATAGCATGTACTAAAAGGGCAACATAAGCACCAAATTACGTACATTCGAGCAGTCAAGAAAAGTATCCCAGTTCTTCACATTCGTGTCTCGAATTGATATTTCCAAACAGACAGCACAGAGAAAAACCCAACAATGTCGGCGGAACTGAAGCATTTCCAGCAGTCTTAAAAAACGGACCAAGCCACGGGAACCAAACACCGAAGCCAAGCCAACGTTTTCGGTGCGGTACATTGACGTCTATTTGCGCAGTGCATCTCATACACGAGTCCGGATAATGTGATTCACACTGATTAGGACCAAACACATCGTGACGACATTGTCGCTTAAACTACAACACTTGGATTCAATTAATATGACTACTCCGTTTGCCGTGACATGCTGCCATCATGTCGTGCAGAGGGACTGTCGTAGTACCCTCTTAAAGTAGTGCACCTCCTGTACAATTCCAACGAGCAAGGCTTGAAATCGCTCTGACATCTAGAGACATACTCTGCCGAGAAAATATGCCAACAGCCACCCTAAGGAAACGGATCAAGCCTCGGAAGACGAAGACTGAAGCAAGGCCAGCGTTTTCGGTACGGTACATATACGTCTGTTAGCGTAGTGCACCTCACACACGAGTCCGGATAATGCAATTCACACCTTTAGAACTGAACACGTCGTGCTGACAATGTCGATGGAACTGCAAGACTTCGGTCCGATGAATAAGACTCATGCATTGCCGTGAGATGCTGCAATCATGTCGTGCAGAGGGACTGTCGTAGCACCCTCTTAAAGTAGTGCACCTCTTGCACAATTCCAACGAGCAAGGCTTGAAATCGCTCTGACATCAAGAGACATACTCTGCCGAGATATTATGCCAACAGCCACCCTAAGGAAACGGATCACGCCCCGGGAAAGAAGACTGAAGCAAGGCCAGCGTTTCGGTACGGTACATATACGTCTATTAGCGTAGTGCACCTTACACACGAGTCCGGACCATGCGGTTCACACTTATTAGGACTAAACACATCTTGCTGACGATGTCGGTGGATATGCCAGACCACGGTCCGATGAATAAGACTCATGCATTGCCGTCAGATGTTGCCATCATTGGCGGGCGGACTGCAGTAGCACCCTCTTCAAGTAGTACACCTCTTGTATAATTCCAATTGGCGAGGCCTAGAAACCACTCTGACATCCAAAGACGTTCTCCGCCGAGATAATATGCCAACAGCCACGCTAAGCAAACGGACCAAGCCCCGGAAAACGAAGACTGAAGCAAGGCCAGCGTTTTCGGTACGGTACATATACGTCTATTAGCGTAGTGCACCTCACACACGAGTCCGGATCATGCGATTCACACTTATTAGGACCAAACACATCTTGCTGACGATGGTATAATTTACGCTGCGCTTATAAATACATATGTACCGTACCGAAAACGTTGGCCTCGCTTCGGTCTTCGGTTTCCGGGGCTTGGTCCGTTCCCTTAGAATTGCTGTTGAGACGTTTTTTCGATACAGTGTGTCTTTGGATGACAAAGCGGTTTTTAGGTCTCGCCAACGAATTATGCAAGAGGCGCACTACTTTAAGAAGATGCTACTACAGTCTGTCCGCACATGATGGTGACATCCCACGACAGTGCATGAGTCTTATTCATTGAATCAAACCATTGCAGCTCAACCGACATTGTCGGCACAATGTGTTTATTTCTACTTAGTGTGAATCGCGTTGTAAGGGCTCTTGTTTCAGGTGCACCGCACGACTAAACGTATATGTACCGTACCTAAACCGTTGCCTTTGTTTCGGTCCTCGGTTCCCGGGGCTTGGCTTCGTTCCTCAGGGTTCGTGTCGGGATGTTATCTCAGCGGGGTGTGTCTTTGCCTTTCAGAGTGGTTTTTAGGTCTCGCCAATTGGAATTATACAAGAGGTGTACTACTTTAAGAGGGTGCTACTACAGCCTGTCCGCACATGATGGCAGCATCTCACGGCAATGCATCAGCCTTATTCATCGGACCGAAGTCTCGCAGTTCCACCGTTATTGTCAGCACGATGTGTTTAATTTTCATAAGTGTGAATCGCCTGATCCGGACTCGTGCATGAGGTGCACTGCGCTAATAGACGCATATGTGCCGTACCGAAAACGCTGGCCTAGCTTCAGTCTTCGGTTCCAAGGCTTGGTCCGTATCCTTAGGATTTTTATTGGCATATTATCTCGGTAGAGTATGTCTTTGGATGTCAGAGCGGTTTTTAGGTCCCGCCAATTGGAATTATACCAGAGGTGTACTACTTGAAGAGGGTGCTACTGCAGTCCGCCCGCCAATGATGGCAACATCTGACGGCAATGCATGAGTCTTATTCATCGGACCGTGGTCTGGCATATCCACCGACATCGTCAGCAAGATGTGTTTGGTCCTAATAAGTGTGAACCGCATGATCCGGACTCGTGTGTAAGGTGCACTACGCTAATAGACGTATATGTACCGTACCGAAACGCTGGCCTTGCTTCAGTCTTCTTTCCCGGGGCGTGATCCGTTTCCTTAGGGTGGCTGTTGGCATAATATCTCGGCAGAGTATGTCTCTGGATGTCAGAGCGATTTCAAGCCTTGCTCGTTGGAATTGTACAAGAGGTGCACTACTTTAAGAGGGTGCTACGACAGTCCCTCTGCACGACATGATTGTAGCATCTCACGGCAATGCATGAGTCTTATTCATCGGACCGAAGTCTTGCAGTTCCATCGACATTGTCAGCACGACGTGTTCAGTTCTAAAGGCGTGAATTGCATTATCCGGACTCGTGTGTGAGGTGCACTACGCTAACAGACGTATATGTACCGTACCGAAAACGCTGGCCTTGCTTCAGTCTTCGTTTTCCGAGGCTTGATCCGTTTCCTTAGGGTGGCTGTTGGCATATTATCTCGGCAGAGTATGTCTCTAGATGTCAGAGCGATTTCAAGCCTTGCTCGTTGGAATTGTACAAGAGGTGCACTACTTTAAGAGGGTACTACGACAGTCCCTCTGCACGACATGATGGCAGCATGTCACGGCAAACGGAGTAGTCATATTAATTGAATCCAAGTGTTGTAGTTTAAGCGACAATGTCGTCACGATGTGTTTGGTCCTAATCAGTGTGAATCACATTATCCGGACTCGTGTATGAGATGCACTGCGCTAATAGACGTCAATGTACCGCACCGAAAACGTTGGCTTGGCTTCGGTGTTTGGTTCCCGTGGCTTGGTCCGTTTTTTAAGACTGCTGGAAATGCTTCAGTTCCGCCGACATTGTTGGGTTTTTCTCTGTGCTGTCTGTTTGGAAATATCAATTCGAGACACGAATGTGAAGAACTGGGATACTTTTCTTAATTGCTCGAATGTACGTAATTTGGTGCTTATGTTGCCCTTTTAGTACATGCTATAAATCGTCGGCTGCGTGTTAAAAATCGTATGACCTGTTTGAGGCCGAAATTATTATATTATCAGATGGTTATTTCTTGAAGATGATAGGCAATCATGCGAGCGTTGTGAGTAGCAGTGGTCGAAACGCCGTAGTGAATAATGTTAATTGCCTGCTCTTTATTTTTGGTGCTAAAGATGTCGTTTGGATTGTATGATTTCAAAGTCGGGCAATCCTGCTAACGCGAGCTGGTTGAGCCCGTGCCGCACTGCGCGTAAAACGCTCGCGGTGGAGATATTTCTTCTTCTAAAAAAGGTGAAGTACTTGAAGAATACCCCTGCACCTTCTCAGCCATGATCATTATCAGCACATCCCTCTTTTTGAATCCGTCGGAGGGATATTCCTTGACTGGTTCAGAAAGGCAAATGTTCTGATAATAGCCAGCGTACCAGACACAAGAGCGGCATCCGGTAACTAGTCAAATGCGTATGAGCAGAAGCTATATCACGGACTGCGTGGACTGTTGGGCATAAATACTTCCAGTAAGTCTTTTTACCTGTCCGTACCAAGTGGTTCCAACTGACGACAACCGGCTCCCCTCATAATCAAGGCAGCTCGACTCAAATATTATTATAATGGATCAAGGTCTTATAGCGGTAAAACCGCACGGTGATTCTGGACTCATATTCGCCAAACGTTAGCGTGACGTCACTGGTACCAAAACTGTTTTAAAGATTTAATCTGAGTCCTTTGAATGGATCAATTCCTGGGATGTGGTCTCACTTTAATCATTACTTGCTGTGCGAGCCCTGACCTCCACTATCTGGTCGTGCAATTCCAAGCAGCGGCAGAATTTAGTGGCGGAAGTTTAACGTGCCACAATGCTCGCCAGGGTCCATCCTGCCCTCTGACGTGAACTGATCTTAAGCGCGACAGCTGGTGCCGGCCACAGGCAACACCCGTCAAGAGCAGTTAGCGAGCGCCTAAAGCGACTCGAACCCAGCCCGCCACAGGTGGTGGGTGGGTCGGAAGGCAGACGCTCCAACCAGTTTAGCAGCCGGGACAGACGCGCTCGGACTTCAAAGCGCGGGGGGCCGCTAGGCGCCGGACGTAATGCTGAGGAACAGCAGGAACATTGAGATATTCGCACCGAAGAAGAAGAAAATTCGTCAGCGTCATGCGCATATAACCGATGGCCCGTTGACGTATAATTTTGAAGCGAGCATGCTTTACAAACCTGAGCACTTAATCATCAAAATGCAATCGCCTGCAAAGTGAAAACTTACATACGAGGCATACTCTCCATAGGGCGACAGGGACATCGGACTGCCTTCGTACCTATAAGAAACAATCTGTAAGTGGCAGATCCAAATGACTAGCGAGCCGATTTCGTAAATTTTAGGGACAAGTATGGTGACGTACCTACGATGTAGCTTGGCCCTTTTCCAGCTAAAATGAGCAGGCAGTAAACCTTCGAAAAAAATCAACCAGACATTAAGCGACGAGTATTCTGTATCTGGTAACCTTAAGTAGCAAGCCATTACAATGCACCTTGATCTTACAAGGCCTCGCACCCCGTGGTCGTACCGCCGCTGGTACGACCACGGGTTGGTGACGAGCGCGGCGAGTCTGTTGTCTGCGGCAGTTAATTTTTTTTCGCTAGAAGCGCCAGATGCGCTGTGATCGGTCCGTGTCTATCTACATTCCGTCGTGCTCGGTCTGTACCTATCTAAGTAGCCGGCGGTGCTCGAACGTCAAAGTTGTGCGCAAGGAGAACTATGAACAGCCAGACGGGGGTACAGAGCCACGATATTCAGTCATCCGATGTAAGTTTTTTTTTAGTCAGAACGACTTTAACTGTACAGCTGGTAAACCCCTTTGTGTTTCATACGAGTGGCGGTGTGCTCCAATCACTGCATTTAATCCACCCCTGAGCAAAGCTTTTTGGGCAGCACGTCCAAACAAAGGGGCAACATGGAAAAATAAATAGACAGCACCTCCAAACAAGCAAACAAACAATGGGCAACACGCGCGTCTGTGAGAACCTGGTTCATGACTGGCTGTGTTCTGGTGTTGGTCGCCACTTGGTCGGTCTTCCGCGCAAACATGCGTGCCTCGTAACAAAAGATCGGCTTTCCTGGCTCCCCGCTGATCAATCTATAACTCCCCGTAACACTTTGCCACCTAGCCTGGTAAAAAGCGAATTAACGACCGTTGTTCAGCGTAGGGTGATAGCCGGCTCCCGCATATGCGCAAGGGCAACGAGAGTTCCGCAAATTTGGCGGTGAGGGAACGATTACTCAAGGCCAATGGAGGCAAATTCTAACTTTTTAAGAAAGCTAGGAACTTATCCCCCTCCAAAGCACCCGTGTCCTCTGCATAAGCGCTCTCATTTCCCACGTTGATTAGATTTTGCCGGATTTGCTGAATATAAGTTCACAAAGCATATGCTCATGCTTGCCATTAATTCCACCTGACCGGCTCGCGATACCAGTAACGGCCTACGCGCCTTCCTGTAAACTTCTTACTTCTTAATGGTGAGAGGGAAGCCCGACATTCAGGCCGCATTTCTTCAAGAGACCACGCATGTGCGCTCCCGCTTTTGACACTGATTACATTTTAACTGTTAGGTATCTACAGTCGTAATTAGCGCAGGGGCGGATGCAGAGGGGGACGGAGCAACGGGTCCATGCCCCCCCCCCCTCCCCTCTTGTGCCCCGAGAGAGTCCATAGGCTCCGGAACGGCCCATCGTCGGCGGAACAGACGCAGTTTTTTTTTACACAAAACGTAACTAATTGGTCGTCTTTGGCCCTCTATACACCAAGAACAATCGCAAGCGAAAGTGAGGGACCCACGAGCAGACATAGACTGTTCTTCACGGATTGAGAGGGTGGTGATCGGGGAGGTTTTAAGGCTCATGACGCTGTCCAGAGACCCTACGCTGTTTCCGGGCACCCTATATATCCACTTGCAAGGTCAACGCGACCGGTAAGGAACCTTTACGTTCCCCCGAAGTTTTTGCATTTGCTCACAGGGTCCTGCGCTGTTGCTGAGGCATTTCATGCTAGCGAGCTGGGGCACTTTTGTCAATATTCTTCCGCTGATTTTTCCATGCGCCCGAAAGGTTTTCCACCCTAGCCTTGGTTGTACGTGGTATACGCTCGTCACTGGTGAGCAAAAGTAAAATGAGTTTTACCTGGCCACCTTGTAAACAACACGTTCACATAGACACAGTCTGTTTATTTCGCCTTCATAGGGCTTCTTCGCTAACCTGATGTACTATTAAACCGACAGCTTGCACACAATCGGGATACATCGCTCAGCGCTCCGCGTGTGCATTCGAACAGAAAAGAAGGGATACTTTAGCACGTCTACATTTCCACGACTGGGGATTAGGAGATAACACATCGTCTTGCCCATTCGTGATGCCAGGACCGCTTTCTTAGTGGCCACGGAGCACTCTAAACTGCAAGGCGGTATCATTGGGGCGGTCATGAATCTGCGTTAAAATCAGTCCACGGCTTTCGATTGGATGCATTTCTGGGACGAGCGCCTACGCTAAGCAGTGCTTGTTTGTTGAACCCTGACCCGATCGTGAAATCCCAGGTTAAGGTCAGAACTCTGAGGCGAAGGCTTGCCTTACCATGCCAGGCTCGGCATGGGCCAGCTCACGGTCTGGCATCACCTCACTGTTGGCGTCGCCGCTACCACCGGCCGCACGCTGTCCCAGTCGGGGTCACATAGCGGGCACCTCAAGCTGCTCGAACTCAACTGGCCGCAGGTGTGCGAGAAGGAAGGCGACCGCTCTAACCAGCTGAGCTTTCGAGATGGATTAAAGTACATTGCGGGACGAGACAGTCTATAGCTGGTGATGTGCCTTCTAGCTGGTTGTACCACAAAAAGGGCAGAGGGCAATAGACTTTTTGTGAAGTGTGTTCCAGAGTAAAACAATGGGGTGATGATGATCCCAGTCCCCGTCCCCAGTCTGCAATGAAAAATACGTGCCGTCTCCTAAGGCTGCCATAGAAGAATGCCTTCGGCGCCCTGAGGAGGCCTCATGACTTTCCGCCCAGAGGGAGCACGTGCCTCCAGTGCTCCCCCGCCCTCCAGATCCGCCCCTGCATGATTATTATGCTTCTTAAAGTAAATGTTTGATTATATTGTCTGCCGTCAATAAGGTGGGCTAAGTTTATTATGAAAAATGGCGGGGTGGGAGGTTCGGTCGTTGGGACCTCTGCCCGCCCCCATGCCCCAATTATTTACAGTGGTTGACATCCCAAACGGTAGGCACTGGCAGGAGACCCCAGTGATCGGCCACTAACAACCCTTAGATAACATGGGTCTTTTTCATGATAGAAGAGTATATTCTCATTATGTATTATTGATTATGTATGATAGGAAAGCCCTTACTACAACGTAGTCGCCTGCGTGCACAATCGCTCAGTGATTGCAATCATGTGTCGTTTTCGTCAGAGCTGTCCAGTAATTCAACAAACCTTGGACGCTCCTCCCCCCCCCCCCGGCCCAGATCACCCGATGTGTTTATCCCTAACTAAACATTTTTACTGAGAATTCTTGCCGCGATGGCACTCCTGCACCGCTCAGGAGCAAAGATGGCGCCACTAACGGCGGCCGATAGATGGTGCTGCGACGTCATGCATTGTTTCCTGTCACTCTGTGCGCTTTGAAGGGTCCTCACGAGCTTTCATCAAGAAAGGCAGCTGCGCTGGATCTAAATATTTTATTGCGTTTTGTCGACTTCACCCCCATATATGGTCCACAAAGGGAACTACGCGACGAATCCAGCACTGCATTTTGTCGAGAAAACCAACAAGAACCAGGAGTCAGGCTGACAACAAGGCAGGAGATCCAGCAAGAACCAGCATCCGGATCTGAATATGCAACGGGATCCAGCGAGACCAAGACCAAGATTCAACCTAGGATTTTGCCGTGGAATAAGAGCCATCCTGGTATAAGGCTAAAAGTCGATTAAGAACCCAGATCGGGCCTGGAAGTATGCTGACGAAGTAACAATAACCAAGATCCAGCACAAAGTCAAGGGAAACTGGGAAGAACCTAGATCTTACCTGCAATTACGACCAGAAACCAGTGGTTATTACTCAGTACACTTATGTTGTGCATATTGTACTTGTAAAAAATGATTGTGAATGTGCAAGGTATCCCTTATTTCGAAAGAAATGCATTGAATAGAAGATACCCCTCAAGTAATAACACGAGCTAATTTTTTACAAATTAACCAGTGAGAGGTGGAGACTGGGACGTAGTGTTTTCTGAATGAACTTTTCAAGCCAAGCCAAGCCATGGCACGAAATTTTATTTTGCAAACGAATCAGGCGAACCGTGTACCGGGACACGGTGTTTGTGAAAGGACTAGTGGGAACCAGAAACCATGGGCTGGCGTTGTGTGGAAGCCGATGGCAGCCATGCGCTAGGTTAGGGTGTTTGTGAGGGAATAAGCGTGGGCCTGAAACACTTGTCTTTATTTGCGACGAAACCAGTAGGGAGCGGGAACCAAGGTGGGATGTTGGCAAAACAACCAATGGGATTCGTGAATCAGAG